TCTACTCTCTGGCTTCATTTGTTAATGAGAGTTTCTAGCTACCAGGCAGCCATGGGCAATTATGGAACAAGGTTCTGCCAGTTCTTCAAGCCACTCTTGAAGAAACTAGGACTGCTGCACTCAACACTCACCTGGAAGCAACGACGCTGGCTAAACAACGTTTGGTGTCATGTTCATATGGCTGATGCAGCGCCAAAGGCCATGACATTGGCTATTGCTTTCAGGAGGCACACTTGTCTGCGTTCAGTGGGAATCAATGACGATGCTAGGTCCCATATTGAAGAACTCCCATTTGATGGTATCGGCCTATTTAATGAGAAAATAGATGAGGTGATTGACAATTTACATAAGATCCGGAAGACAGCTCACTCTTATTATGTTCAGCAACCCCGATACCAACCTTATCAGTGGTGTAGGCCTTTCACCTCACAGCAGTGTTATCAACAACCTTATCAAACCTATCACCCTTACAAACCTTCTGCTTAAGAAAGATCAAATCCTCCATCTTCTGCTACCACCTCTTTCCAGGCACAGGCTTCTGGTCAACGTGGACAAGGCTTTCCGTCACCGTGCCAAGAAGAATAAACAATATCTTTGACTGTCTTTGGCTGAATCCTTCTATCAATCTATCCCACCTCCCCCGGCTAGCTCCTTTCTTCAACAAGTGGTCTTTCATCACCAAGGACACTTGGGTGCTCACCATCATATGTTTTGGTTACCTTTTAGAGTACTCAGATATTCCTCCTGTCGGTCGCCTCAAGAACACAGCTTACTCACCTACTCTAGAAAACAAAGTCTCTGGTCTTCTCCAGAAGCATGTTATTCAACACATTTCTTCTCAAGAAGCACTGGACAGCTTCTATTCCCGACAATTTTACGGTTCCCAAGAAGGATGGCGGACTGCAGCCAATCTTAGATCTCAGGCTCCTCAATACTTACCTGCGTCCAAGGCATTTCTGAATGGTCACCTTAGAGTCGGTCATTCCACTTCTTTCTCCAAGCATTTGGTTTGTGGTGATAGACTTACAGGACGCTTGCTGTCATATTCCCATCCATGAGCATCATTGCATATATCTCCACTTTGTCTTCATGGAGTCAGTGTACCAGTTCTGCGCCCTACCATTTGGGCTTGCCACTGCCCCAAGGGCCTTCACAAAGCGTTTAGCTCCAGTAGCAGCCTACCTGCGTCTGCACAATATCATGGTCTTTCCTTATATAGACTACTGGTTGATCGTTGTTGGCTCTTACACCAAGGCACAAGAGGATACAAGTTTTGCTCTACAAACTCTGGCAGATCTAGGTCTCCAGGTCAACTTTGCGAAGTCCCATCTTCAACCATCTCAGACCATGGACTACATTGGCACAGTTTTGGACTCCAACAGAGCCAGAGTTTTCCTTCCTTCCAAAAGGATTTACAAATTGAGTCGGGCTATTCATCCATTCCGCAATATGCCAGGGTTTCTGCTCATCACATGCAGCATCTTTTAGGCCTTATGGCTTCCACTATGTCTGCTCTTCCTCGCGCTCGATTGAAGATGTGCTCTCTAAAGGCATGATACCTGTCTCAGTTCAATCTTCTAGTAGACAACCCTGCCAAATGCCTCCGTGTGACTCCAAAGTTAGCAAGTCAATTGACATGGTGGATTTTCGTGCTGCATCTTCTAATTGGCTGACCCTTCAGGCCCCTTCAGCTCAGATCATGACAGATGCCAGTCTGATGGGTTGGGGTGTGAATTGTGGCGTTCACAAGATCCATGCCCTGTGGTCCAAAATCAGAGAAGCTGCTTTATATCAATCTTCTAGAAATGATAGCAGTAATCTTCGCACTTTCTATTCTCTAGTGGTCAATCACAGAGTACAAGTCACTACGGACAACATGACCACTCTGTACTATATAAACAAGCAGG